AAAAAAAAGGTGGAATTTGAGGTTCTGATGGCGGTGAAAATGAAAATTACTCTCACGTGGGATATGACGCAGTGAAGTCTGGTATAGAGTTACTAAAGTGGTAGAAGGAATCTGTTGCTTCTATCTTCTATCCTGAGGATGGAGATAGCAGATTCCTATGCAGCACGTCATATCACAGAAGATACATATCTTAAGGGCAAGATGTCCTCAGGACCTCCGGTTACAGTGCAGTACCACCAAAAACAAGACACCTAACAGATCCTTTGTAGATGTGGCACAGTTCAGAAATTGGTTTTGGTGACGACAGTAACAAATCAAAATTTGTTTCAGAAGGAAATTAAGAGGAGACTGAATTCGGGTAATGCTTGTTACAATTTAGTCAAGAACCTTTTATCTTCTCGTCTGCTGTCTAGAAATATAAAAATTAGGATATACACAATTATAACTTTTGCCTGAAGTTCTACATGACATATGAAACTTGGCCTCTGACATTAGGGGAGGAACATAGGCTGAGGGTGTTTGAGAACAGGGCGCTGAGGAGAATATTTGGACTGAAGAGGGACGAAGTGACAGGAGGTTGAAGAGGAGGAGCTTCAGAACTTGTACTCTTCGCAAAATATAATTAGAATGAGCAAGTCAAGGAAGATGAGTAGGGCATGCAGCACGCATGGAAGAGAAGAGTAATGTGCACAGGATTTTTGTGTGGAAGCCAGAAGGAAATAGCCACTAGGAAGACCAAGACATATGTGGGTGGATAATATTAAATAGATCTTGGAGATATAGGATGGGGTGGTATGGACTGGATTGATCTGGCTCAGGATTGGGAGAAGTGGAGGGCTCTCGTGAACACGGTAATGAACCTTTGGGTTCCATAAAATATTTGGGAAGTTCTTGAGTAGCTACACAACTGGCGGCTTCTGAAGAAGAACTCAACTCCATGGAGTTAGTTGGTTATGATAGGAATAATTACCTTCCTATTTCCTCGTAAGTGAGGCAATTCCCCCTGTAGGGACCACGTGATTCTAACTTTTCTCCGTTATTTTGAAAACAGTTTCCTATGTCTTTCAGAGAGAACCTATCGTTAACATTGTAGATCTTCCTGGAAGTAATACCCTTCTTATGATCCAAATATCCCTTGCTAGAGACTACTGTTTCCTGGCATATTACTCGGTAAATCGTGAGGAATTATCTCAAACGTTTCGGAGGAACCTGCTGCCTCTGTCGCCGCTTCTTCTGGCTGTTTGCTTGGCTTAATTTTCGACCCCGAAGATAGAGGGTAGGAGGTCGTTCCGAAACGTCGGCAAACTTCTTCCGGACTACAGAGCATGATATCCCAATTGACAGTACTATTCACAGCCATTGCTACGAGAACCTCAAAGACAGGTAAATGAAGTGACTGAAACAATTTAAAATGGTGGTAAAAGTAATGGAAGGAAATATTGAAGCCTATTACAGGCGCATTAGTTGGGAATTTCAATACTATCTTCTGTAAACAAGATCTAAGAGTTTGAAACGATGGTATATTAATTAAATTATTTAATTTTTTGGACATTATCAACCATCCTGTTTGTTATTTAGAAACACCGTTTCGGAGACTGGACTTCTTCTTCTTCATTAGGCAAAAGCCTACTCAGTTGGGCTCAATCGAATTAAAAGGGTAAAAATTGTCCCTATGCTTAATCCGTTAAGTCATACACATGAAGACCTATGAAGAAGTGGAGGTATAGCTCCATCATTCTTGACCTCGGTACTGGATCGGCTCACTTCTGGGGAAGGAGCCCAGATATGAGACTGCGTGAGCCCCAGAGCCGGTCAGGACGCTGTGGACTGGAGAAAAATTTCTTGCCCTTAAAGGGAATTTTACCTTGGCCGTCCAGCTCGTAGCCCGTTTCTATACCGACTGAGCAATTGGTCCCACGTAAGTAGAATCTTATCGGAAGACGGGGACAGAGTCCTTTCTCCGAAACGTCGTTTTTAAATATAAAATAGGACAATGGATAATGTCCAAAAAGACAATAATTTTACTGTTTTCTGTAACATGGACACCTGCTTAATTCACTAGGTTTTAGTGTGACCATTGGTGACCAGGTTTCTCTGCAAAGAAATGTTCAGAACTTTAAAGAATAAAACTGGGAAATCATAAATGACAACCTTACATACGGGCAGCAAGGCAAGGGTAGTTGGCCGGGGCTCAGTTGTGGTGCTGGTATTATTCAGGGTGGCAGTGGTAGTGGAGACGGGCAGGAAGGAGAAGATGGTGGAGGCTCCAATGCCCTTGGACTGGTCTCTGAAGTCCTGGGATCACTAAGTGGAGTGAGTATTGCTTTGCTATAGCATAGTCTTGTCTCGTTATTTCCCTACAGCCTGAGATTGTACTACAGCTCTCTACTTTTACATATCACAACTTACATTTACAGGAACTGGAAGCTTCTGCAAGTGTTGCAAAGATGTCTGCGCTGTTTTATCTGGAACAAAATATAATAAAATCAATTGTAAAGTGTTCTGACAGTGATGTATGACAATTAAGATAATTTGGTTTCTGGACTTTGTCTATTATTCTAAATAGAACACAACAGTTCGGCAAATGAATCTGTTTTATTCCTCAGTTGAGAAGTTGGGGAAGCCCCTACTCTGTTGGGTTCGTTGTAATAGGATAATATTCATCACAGGATAACAAATCTGAAACTGCGTCTAGCTTTTCCTCATGAGTCCAACTAAATATATTTCCATCTTTATCATATGAGGACAGAGAAAAGACTAATTTCAGAAAATCTACAGGGAATAAGACACAATGGACAAAGGCCAGAAACCACGAAATCCTAATTAAAATTAGATGTAAAATAACAAGTTCTGAGACCTTAAACTTATTTTACATTTTTTGCGTCAATATCGCTGTCAATATCCACACTGAACAGTGTCGACTGTAGGACAATTACTAATATGGAACTTTTGTGAAATAAGAATTGGCAGGGGAAACCGAAGTACTCGGAGGAAACCTGCATCAGTGCCATTTTGTCCACCATAAATCTCACATGACCTGATCTGGGATAGAACCAGGACGTGGAAGTGGGAAACCTTTGAATAACCACCTGAGCTATTACATGGCCGGAACTTAAACAAGTAAAGGTAAAACTATCCCTGTAACAGGCCGTGAAGGCCCGTAGAGTTGTGAGACATCGAGGCTCTCACATATTCTACAAAATCGATTCATAGATGGCGGTAAGTTTGTCAGCGTTAAGAGCTGGCAGCCAATTACCTCGAGGAAAGTCCATGGTACTCATTACTGTTAAAGGCTGAGTCGACCCAAGGGTCATAGTGGGGCTGGAAGGATTATGTCAATTGAAAAATCTTATGACCTCATTGAGATTCAAACCCTTGACTTTCCGGCATGTAGCATAGTGCCTCAACAAAGTACGGTACCGCCTGATCCCACTTAAAGAAGTTCTGAAGGTTTAGAATCAAACTTAGACATATGTCAGTGTCAGGTTTCATGAAAATGTATTAAGCGATTCTAGGGATTCTGCAGAAGGACGGAAAGACAGAGAGATAGACATGACATTTGTGAAAATTTTTCGTCACAAACACACCAAACTTGAAGAAATTGATAGTCATCATTTTATTATGGCCACAAAGCTACACAGTTTATCAAAGCACAATGATGTAGAGATCATTAATACCATCTCCAGGCTGATGACTAAGCTTAATTGACTTAAAATTTTAAGATGAAGCACAACAAATACCATATAAAGTAATTTCTTTTAATGCTAGTGGGGTGGGACTAAGTCCCTTGTACTGCGGCCACTTCTGGCCTATTGTACCAGCCCCAGATGATAGGCGAGGGTGATTGTGGAGCAATTGGTGGACTGAAGATTGGCAGGGGAAACCGAAGTACTCGGAGAAAGCCCACCCCAGCGCCATTTTGTCCACCTCAAATCCCACTTGACCACCCCCGGGATCGAACCCGGGCCGCCGTGGTGGGAAGCCAGCGACTAACCGCTTGAGCTATGGCGCGGCCACCATATAAAGTAAGTTCAATTCTTTTTATATTTGCAACTCTGTGGGAACCTCAACATCTCACAACCCTATGGGCCTCCACGGCCTGTTACAGGGACACCTTTACACACACCAGTAACGTCAAAGCCCGCCCTTCAACAAGAAACGGGTCTACTTCCATCCACGTCCATCCTATAATCCTTATACTCATTATAATATAAATATTCCAGTTCCTCCACGGTCTTACAAATGGCCGCTTTCCAGAAGATTAACCCCCTCCCCCATTTCTCAATGTACCTTCGATGTTTGAACTACATCCCTAACCCAACATGAAACGGAGCTAACAGTAATATGGATATCTCAGATTTTCGACAAATTTGAGCTAACGATATGTCATCTGACCTCTAATATTTTTTTTCCTTGGCACTACAGCCCCAGTGGGCCTAGGCCTACCTCCATGAACTTCTCCGTTCACTTCGGTTTTTCTAGATCTTACACATTCGGTAGGACTCCTTGGGCGGGAGGTCAGCTCGTCGCAAGGCCTCTACCTGTACATAAACACAGAAAAATGCACACACACAAACTAAACATCTATGCCCTGAGTGGGATTCGAACCCACGATCCCGGTTTCCAAGCGAGCGAAGACAGTACATGCCCCTTTAATTTATATTTGTAGTAAAAACCAAAAATTACTATTTTTTTTCAAAAACAAGAAAATTGAGGTTCCTAAATGGTTAGAATGAATGACATTAAGTTGGATTTCCTTCTCGCTCCTCTGGCTTACTCCCCGACCATAAAGATAGAAGCAGTAAATTACTCCGAAACTTCGGCGAACTTCTACAGTCACATTCCAGAGAAATGAGTACTCTTCAGTAGCAAAGTGAGGGTTCTTGTCTGGTATCTGAGGCCATATCTGGGAGGTTCGTTATGTGTTACGAAGCAACAGGGCAGACAGACAAGCATGTGAACCCATTCACATATTTTCCATCACTAATGCAAAGACGGCCACAGCTACGAGGCCCCAACAGTAATAATTACACGTTAAATTCGACAGCTTTCGATCAGAACTAAAGGCTGTGAAACAAAGGCTTCGTGTCACGCTACCGCTGTTCATAACGCAACTGTAGAGTGGATCGAGAGATACCTGTACGCTTGTACNCGCAACTTTCCGCAGCTTTCCGCTTCCAATGGACGAGAGGCCTAAGGTTCATTTTAAAGTGTGATTCTAAATTACTGTCGGTGTTTTCATAATCTACAATCTTCAAACCGAAAATAAAAATTAGAACTGGCTAAGGAATATGAAAGTGTAATTGAAAAAGTTTTATATTCTATAGGCTCAATACTACAGGGTGCTAAACAACTTAAACATGCGCAGTTTAATTTTGTTGGTTCCGGTTTGAAAATTATATACTATTGAAACACCGACAATAATTTAGAATCACTCTGTATTTCTCAGCATGATCGTTAATTTCACGCTTGAAACTTGTACATTATACTTTGTGACCACTGTTTATTTAATTACCCGGTTTGCTGAAACGGTACGTTCTATGTTACGTACTTGCTTTTGGTACTACACTTTTAATTCTTTCCGAATAAGCTAACGTATTGATATTCTGATCACAGAGCAGCAGCGGTGGGAGCGGTGCAGACGATGCGAGTGGTGACGGCGGAGGTTCTAATGTCTTGAGCCTCGTCGGTTCGCTGTCAGGGAGCAGCAGCGGTGGGAGCGGTGCAGACGATGCGAGTGGTGACGGAGGAGGTTCCAATATCCTGAGTCTCGTCGGTTCGCTCTCAGGGAGTAGCAGCGGTGGGGTGAGTACGCACTATCGGAAGTACCAGAGAATCCATCTTTGAACATTTCACTCTCAACTGAAAAACAAATGTGTGCTCTTTCTACTGGAACCGGACCGCAAGGAACAAGTTACGCAACTGTGGATTTCTGAATAACGAAGACTTCAGCGTTCTACATGGAAGAGCACTGAGTTAAGCTTCAGTTTATTTTAATTCCACCGTTTCTCGTCACAAGAGGAGTCTGAAATAAAGTGCAGTATTATTAAAGGAGCCTCATTGGAGCACCATAGTTCGTGATGCTTTGGACAAACATTTTCCAGGAAGATGGTTTGGATGAGGTGGTCCAATTTCTTGGCCCCCAAGATCACCTGACATAACCCCACTGGACTTTTTCCTGTGGGGATATGTCAAAGACATTGTTTATAAGACGCAGGTGACGGACATCTACCAATTAAAAACCAGAGAAAGAGACGCAATAGCCACTGTGGATGTCGGTATGCTTGCCCGAACCTGGCAAGAAATCGAATATCGTCTTGATATTCTACGTGCAACAAATAGAGCATATGTACAACTTTATTAACAATAGACACAAAACTTTTTGAGTTTCTCAATCCAACAATGTAACCAGTTTATTTCTATCTTCGTTATTTTCCGAATTATTAAAGATCAAAATGTGTCAGATCTTTGTAGACACCCTGTATTTTACTCAATTAGAAATACGTACTAAGTGACTAAGGAGTTTTCGAACCAGATAACAAGATGATATGTCTTTGAGCTTACAGAACATGAAGTTCATGGAGAGAAGGAAATGAAAACTGCTGATCACCAACCGGTTTCAATTTCTTTACGTAATAGACATCAATGAAGTCATGACGCACAAATCACTGTAGAGGTTGTTTACATTGATATGGAGGGGTGAATTCATCTTACTTACAACGAGGACAAGTATACACACTTTCTTTTGTGTCCCCTTTGATAAATGTATTTAAATAAAATTTAATTATCAATGCAAGTCTAATTCCGCGTCCTTACCGAAGGAAAATGTCTGCATGCAACATACGAGTGCGTTACGAATATTTCGCAATGGAATTTGCAGCGGAGTTTTCGGGCATCACGTGTACCCTTATATGAATATACGGGTATAGATAATATTGTCACGTGTATATAGTGGCTACAGACGGGTTTTGGATTATCTACTGGATTTATTGTACTCTCTGATACAGCGCGTGATTACATTTTACATTTCAATAAAACACACTAGTGTCCACAGTCACGCCGTCATTGACGTTGCTTGGTAGCTGCTTCCAATGGCAGGCGTTCCATTTCCGCTGGATTCCCGAACGGTCGGAGGCTTCAACTACCATTTTCTAAAAGCAACAGCTCACAACGACTGAAACTCAGCAGTTCCCTAACTCAACGCTACAGTTCAGTTCAGTCCAGTAAATTGCTGTTGGTCCTCGCCAGCACAGTCGTTCTTGGCTTCCGGTCCTGTCGGAACCCATGACAGTGTATCTGTTCTTTTCAGATTTTTAGTGTTTTGAAGTGGAGTCTCCTCTTTGACGAGAAGGTTCTGACTACTACTGGTCACTCCCCTTCTTCTGGGGAGTGACTCTGCTGGCTCTCTCATGCTACAACTGGTCCTGCACGAACCAACTAGAAAACACCGCTCCTCCGTTGCAGTGCAATTGTTGCTAAACGATGGAAAGACGTATTTCATTCTTCTATGAGCAGCAATCGGCATGGACTGCGCAGAAAACATCATTCCTCTGTTGTTGTTTACGGGTCGCTGCCTAGTAACGGCTGGAAGTTGTATAGTTACTTATTTCTGGTCGTTGTCTAGCAACGGTCTACATGTCACAATATCCTAATTGAGAGAATAACATTTATAAAACTAAAGCCTAAACATTTCATTAGACAATATATAATATATTTTAAAAAAATCCTTAGACACACTAATTGTTTCCACTTTCTGTATATACATGGGAATCCTAACTAACAAATATTTGCATGGTGGTAGTGGGGCCCAAATCTGACCATTCAGGTGTCGAAGTGTGTACAGTGCTATATTAACATCTGCTACTTACTGCATAACCTTTCATCCGCTTATCACTGACACTGAACTATGAACATACAGGGTGGAGGAGGCCAGGATGGTTGCTCTGATATCCTGCGTTTTCTGGGATCTCTTTCAGGAAGTCTCATTGGGGTGAGTAACAATTATTCTATCAACTTCACTAACAATATTTGAATTTGTTTTGTACGTTAGATACTAGCTGTGTGTTAACAGTTTATTAGTGTGAACAGTATCTAATATTAACACTGTAAAAATGAAAAAACAGGGTGGTGGTGCAGGGGGTGGATCCGATATTCTAAGTCTACTGGGTCCACTTTCAGCAAGCCTTAGCGGGGTAAGTTACAGATTTATTCAAGCTTAGTGGAAAAAATTCTCTCTGAGACATTTTTCTTACTGTCCTGATAATTAATATCATAGCACTATATATCCTAACAGTTTGCTCAAATACAACAAAAAACTGTCGTCTTTGTATGTTACGTTTAGTAACATCAAGAATTCATTAGTGTTTCTTAATGTTTCCACAAGACGAAAGAACTTAAGGAACAATTCAATATTTTGTGGCACACCATATAATTTCGTTATTAAAATGTTATTAATGTGAATGATTATATGCATGCATACATAAACTTATCTGCTTTTCTCAGTGTGGTTATTCCTCTAGTAGAAAGCCTCAAAGGGGTAAGTCCCAAGTAACACTTCTCGGTTATTTATAATTGATTTAATATTATCCTAAAAAAATTGTTCTTTAAACCTTTATAAACATGAATCTTCGGGGAGAAGGAGGGGGAGGTTCTAATATTCTCAGTCTTCTTGGACCTATTTCAAGAAGTCTCAGGGGGGTAAGATAACACGGTTACATAATCATTTTTAACTAACTATCTTCATGGAGCTGAAAACTTCCTGAGAAGCCGCCAGTTGTGCAGCTACTCAAGAACTTCCCAGCATTTTATGGAACCCGAAGGCTCATTACCGTGTTCACAAAGGCTCTCCACTGATCCCTATCCTGAGCCAGATCAATTCAGTCTATACCATCACCTCCTATCTCTATAAAATCTATTTTAATATTATCCACCGACCTATGTCTTGGTCTTCTTGGCGGTTTCTTTCCTTTTGGCTTTCTCACCAATATCGTATATGCATTCTTCTTTCCCCCCATTCATGCTACATGCCCTACCATCTCATTCTCCTTAAATTCATCATTCTAATTATACTTGGCGTTTATTCAAATAATCTGTCCAAATCCGAGGTCCTTTGTGACGTTTCGTAACAAAGTTTTTTTTACGGCTAGGAGTTATTTTTCCACGCCCAACCTTCAAGCTGGAGGACCAACCCTTGTCGGCCGTACGCGAATGCTTACTCAGTATATTCGCAGCTACCCTCTATATCTAGAGACCGTCTCCTCCATCCGCAACCTGAGGAGGCGCCATGCCGAGGTGACAAGGGTCACATGACGTAGACACAATCATATTTTCATTAGTAAATTTGGTATGTAAATTCATTTACGAGGTCACTTTAATGTTCAGGATGTCCAGTAAGTTCAGTTTGATAGTGAGCGCAAAATACGACATTAATCGGTCCGTGTGTTTGCAGGATTCAACTCCGAAAATATCGAGAAAAAAATCATTATAATTTTAACACGTGATCTGCACTAGCACTCGTATATTTCTGGTTATCACGGCAGCGACTGCTCAGACTGTAGTCCCAGATGTCACTTGCTTACTCATAAAATATACGTCCACTCTGCGTGCGACACGTAACTAAACCAGTTACACGATAGCAGGAACCTACGGTTCAACAACTGTAATATCAAAGCAAGCGCCAAGTCCCTCTCAGAATCGTTTTCTTCAATATTCTTACATTCTCCTCCAGTGTGGACCCTTTTCTGCTTTCGAGCAGCCTCTCCGCCAATATTCTGTAAACATCTCTTGTCTCACACCGGGCCTACGTGGCACTTATGAAGGAAAATCAAAACTGCTGGTACTAATAATAATAACCCTTAAAGTATGGGGCTGCAGGGTGGTGGTGGGGGTGGTTCCGATATCCTCAGTCTACTTGGGCCCCTTTCTGGGGCATTAAGTGGGGTAAGTTTAAGTGTATCTGTATTTTAAATACATAAATTAGTAAATAATTTTGATACTAACTATACTAACCCTTAACTTGTGGGGCTTCAGGGCGGTGGTGGTGGAGGTGGTTCCGATATCCTCAGTCTACTTGGGCCCCTTTCTGGAGCATTAAGTGGAGTAAGTTTTAATATATACATATTTGATATACAAAAATTAAATTAGTAAAGAATTCTGATACTAACTATACTAACCCTTAACTTGTGGGGCTTCAGGGCGGTGGTGGTGGAGGTGGTTCCGATATCCTCAGTCTACTTGGGCCCCTTTCTGGAGCATTAAGTGGGGTAAGTTTAAGTGTATCTGTATTTTAAATACATAAATTAAATTAGTAAAGAATTTTGATACTAACTATACTAACCCTTAACTTGTGGGGCTGCAGGGTGGTGGTGGAGGAGGTGGTTCTGACATCCTCAGTCTACTTGGGCCCCTTTCTGGGGCATTAAGTGGGGTAAGTTTAAGTATATCTGCATTTTAAATACAAAAATTAAATTACTAAAGAATTCTGATACTAACTATACTAACCCTTAACTTGTGGGGCTGCAGGGTGGTGGTGGAGGAGGTGGTTCTGACATCCTCAGTCTACTTGGGCCCCTTTCTGGGGCATTAAGTGGGGTAAGTTTAAGTATATCTGCATTTTAAATACAAAAATTAAATTAGTAAAGAATTCTGATACTGACAATACTAACCCTTAACTTTTGGGGCTTTAGGGCGGAGGTGGTGGAGGTGGTTCCGATATCCTCAGCTTACTTGGGCCCCTTTCTGGGGCATTAAGTGGGGTAAGTTTGATGTATCTTTAATTTCTATTTATGAATTTGATTATAATTTATTTAGAACACCTTTCACCGTCTCTCATACCTCGAGTACGTAAACATAGGTAGAACACTCGTATGTTGCAAGAAGAATCTAATGACATTCTAATGATGACGTAACGATCTACGTCACTATCTGATGATGACGCAATGTCAAAGAACTTTTAGACAAAGAAGGTATAAGTCTGTAGATTTCCTTGAAAACCAAATTTTAAACATTATAGTAATTCTGCAGGGTGGAGGGGAAGGGGTGGATCCGATATTCTAAGCTTACTCGGACACCTCTCCGAAAGTCTTAGCGTAATGATTGTAAGAATATATTTTGTTTTTAAGAAATATTGAAACTGGAGCAAACTACTAACAAGCATTATGTAAAACTTATAGGGAGGTGGTGAAGGGGGTGGATCTGACATTCTAAGTTTACTTGGACCCCTCTCGGGAAGCCTCAGCGGGGTGAGTTGCTTAGGTTCTGCATATAACTGTTACTTAACATAAGACGTTGTTATAAATTAAACAGATGCTACTGGAAATGTACCCTTTGAACCAACTAACAGCTCCGTAACGCCACACAGAGCTCTGAGTGTCTGCAGCGTTTCGGAAAGCATTAAGGAATCTTCACGACTTATTCCCGCATGCCAAAGTTGTATGAGTGTGACTATAGACGGGGTTTGGATTTGTGATCGGATTTCTTGAACCTTTTGATGAACATGGCGTAACTACACTTTACAATACACTGCTATAGACATGCGCACTAATTTCCGCAGCCACATCTTCGCCGGCGTTGCTTGGTAGCGGCTTCCAACTGCGGACGTTCCCCTTGCTCTGGGTTCACGAACTGTTCCCGGGCTCAACTACCAGCGTCTAATAGCAATAGCTCACGACTGACTCGCAGCAGTACTCTGACTCAATCATTAACTCACCATCCAACTAAACTCGCTAACTCCACTGACTTGTCCTGCTTAGAACATCTCGGCATGGGCTGCAAAGAATACACCGTCACTATGTTGCTGTGCAATTGTTGGTTTCGTGTCTGTTGAGGTTCTCACGTGATCTTTACTCAACCATTGCCTAACAACGGTCGTTGTTTTCAGAGCCATTACTTGGCAATGGCTGTTGTATAGTTGTTTATTTCACGGTTGTTGCCTAGCAGCGGTTTTACATCCCACAATATTAAGCACCAACCGCTAAAACATCGGGACAATACTCCTGAAATTCTATCAATAAAAACAGAAGCTCAGGAAGGATTCAGGAAATGTTTACTGTCAATTTCTCTTTCCTGTTGTACGAGTAAAGCAGTAATTATACTGAATACGTGTGTTTTAACATAACTTACTTATCCTTGCATGCGTACACTAGTATGACTTGCGTTTCTGTCGAAATATGTTAATCAGATACGTATAAGGGAAGGGGATGGTAGCGGTTTAAATGTTTGAGTCTGCAGTACAATGTTCACCTTTGTCGAAAGAAAATCCTCTAGGTAGCAGGGACGCTTAGCGCATACTGTAATATCTTAATATAAACACCTTTCCAGCCTGTCACAGTAGCCGTGCGGTGTAAGGCATGAACGGTCTTCTCTCACTCGGACGCTGGGTTCGTGGGCTCGAATCCCAATGAAGGAATGGATGTTTCGTTTGTGTTGTCCTGTGTTTAGATAGCGCCTTGCAATATTCCGATCACTCGTCCAAGGAGTCCTACTGTTTGAGAAAAATTATTATGGAACCGAATAAGAGGCCTGGGGCCTGAAAGGGCTGTAAGAGCCATTGGAAGAAAACTGTCTTTCCAAAACCATTCAAATTCTTCTGGTTAGATATTTTCAACACAATTTTCAACAGGCTTAATGATATTTTCTAAATAAACACGAACAAGTAATTAGTTTTGTTTTAAGTCATGGGTGAGACTGGAGAACGTGCTGCTCTCTCTGAGTCTTAAGTGGAAGTACACGAGCTTCATGGCTGCAGCTCGTCTCGGATGTTAAAGGTCATACGCTCGACCTCAATAATTCAGATGATGAGAGTTACTAGGGAGTGGAAGTAAAGGCTCTTTTGCATGAGAAAGTGGGTGAAATTTCGAGCAATTAGCAAGTAAAATCATAACAACCTCTCTCTCTCCATTCTGAAGCAAAGAGTAAATTGATGCAGGGCAACAGCGACTTCAGAACTGTATTGCACCATTACATGTTAACTAATAATTCGGTTTAAGATCTAACGAGAGGTTTCAACACGATTGTATATATACAGCATACATAGTGAACAAGGAGCCGGGATAGTTCAGGCGGTACAGCAATGAGCTACGGGATCGACGATTGTGGTTCGATTCCCATCAGGAGTAAGATGTTTTCTTCTACTCGACAGCGTCTAGACCACCTCTGGAGCCAATCCAGCTTCGTATCCAATAGGTATCAGGGGGTTTTTCCCCTGGGTAAAGCGGCCGGGGCGCGAAGCTAACCACCCACCTCTAACCAGGCCGGAGATAAAAAATTATGGACCTACACCCCTCTTCTCCCATACGTCTTCATAGCCTGGTGCTCAATTAATTAAGCACAGGGACTATTTTACCTTTCATATTGTCAGTGTTTATTGACTATAGATGAGGTTGGATTGTTGAATAGATTTATTAAAGCCTTATATTTACAATCAACTCGTCCTTATAAGCAATACAGCGCTATCGCTGATTTGCACAATTTAAATTTCGCCATTACACACGCACTAGGATTCTCTGCCTTCACTAGTCGTATCCTGACAACAGGATTAAAACAGTCTCATTGTGACTAAATCTTCTAATCATAAGCTAAGTCTTCAGATGTTGACTTCTAAGTCTTCTTAAACTACTACCTTCCTGTGACTATCTTTTGCCAACAACTTAACTCATTCTTGTACTCTGTTGCACATCTTGTACTCTTCTGTACTCCTACAGCTGCCAGCCTCGAAATTCGGCTCATTTATATAGACGCTGCACGGACCACACATCACAGAAAACACTTGCTCTCCACTGTTGCATGACGTCAACGCGTACGCAAGAACATGCATAGCACTCGCTTAATAGCAACGATCCTTGCGCGGAGCATAGAAAACGCTGCTCCTCTATTGTTGTTTTTGTCTGTTTATCGCACCGTTACAAAACCATGAGTCGACGGGTCATAATATTTTGTAAAATTCACGTACGTCAGTCTGCAGATCGCGCTCTGAATCTGTGAAATTATTAATAATGATAAATATGTAAATTCAAAGAATTTTCGTTCTAGAAATTGAAATTTGGATTGAAATTGTTAATTAAGTTGTGATATGCATCGGTTGGAGCCCAGTGCATTTTTCTTTCGCATGAAAAGCTACAGGGCCAGAGAAGGGAGGGAGTATACTTTTATAGTTGCCATGGTAACGAAACGTGTTCTAAAAGACACAGAAGGGACCTGAAGTGTAAGCTAACATTAGTTACAAAAATTGCTCTTAAAATTTGCAGTGCAGATAATTGGGGGGGGGGCAGCCTAGTGACGTTACGAACGAGGCTGTAGTCGAGTCAAGGCGACCCAGACAAGCCTTCTCCTCCTCTGTGACTTTTTGAGCGTCGGGACGCAAACTTGGCGCTCTGTTTAAGGACATTCATTTGAAACACAAGGTTCTTAAAGTTTTAAGAGCTTTATATTATGAGATATAACGCTGCGAAATCCGCTGAAAGTCAACTAAGGTTTCAGAGGAATATGTTGCCTCCATCTTCAGGATCGAAAAATAAAGCGGTTAAGAAACCATCGTGAAAGCAGGTGGCAAGCCGTTTGCTCTGCTTGCTAACAGTATCACGCTGGTTTCTTGCTTGGTATATCTTTCGATACTGAATACAGTAATGACACCTCCATCCGAAACGTCAGTTGACATTCAGCAGACTACAATGCGGTATACTCGTATCCCAGATGATATAAGTTTTCATAACCACAGCTGTGAGAACCTCAAAATCTTACTGTCTGTTTAATATCTTACCCCTGACATGGAAGCATCAGCCCCTCTGAATGTGTGTGCTTTAAGAGCTGTTGGTCGTTCAGTTCTGCATTTCAAAGCCTGACACTCTCAGAAATAAAACAGCAAAATGATCTTGTATCATGATTTCTGTCTGGCTGGAACTGTGAGTCGGACCTCACTAGAAATTTTATTTTCAGAATTATACCCGGTTATATTTTTTATTGCTAGTGGGGTGGGACTAAGTCCCTTGTACTGCGGTCACTTCTGGCCTATTGTTCCAACCCCAGATGATAGGTGAGGGTGATTGTGGAGCAATTGGTGGAATGAAGATTGGCAGGGGAAACCGAAGTACTCGGAGAAAACCTGCCCTAGCGCCACTTTATCCACCACAAATCCCACTTGACCAGACCTGGGATCGAACCAGGACCGCCGCAGTGGGAAGCCAGCGACTAACCAAATCATCGTGTTTCTAGACATTATATATGCTTGTTTCAAACACACAGCGTTTCGGAGACTGGATGCTGTCTCCGTCTTCAGGTGGAACCTACTCAGTGGGGTCCAATCCACAGAACTAGTCCCTATCTCCGCACCAACTCTTTCGATTGGGCCCAACTGAGTAGGCTTCACCTTCAGGCGGACACAGAATCAAGTCTACGAAAGGCTGTGTGTTTCAAATTAAAACAGGAGGACGGATAGTGTCCAGAAACAGAATAATTACATTAATATACCTTCATCATATACTTTTAGATCTTATTAACTGTTAGTGGTTTAAGTGCCGTGCATGTTTCAGACACTAACACTACCTTCTGTGTTTAGTATTAAACAGAACGTATCTGTTATGAACTAATATTATGAATTTGTTACTAACTACCATGTCTGCAGGGTGGTGGAGATGGTGGAGGTTCAGACATTGGGGCCCTTTTGGGAAATCTGGGCCCTCTTATTGGAGGTCTCAGTGGGGTAAGTTCTGTACATATATTGAAATATATATGTAATATTTATCAATGTGACTAGTACAAGGTGGTTCACATATGACCGGGACTGATTTGTGTGTAAACAAGTCGCACTGCGCAGCAGCTATGCGACCTTGAGAGAGTGAAGTCACAACCTCTACCTTCCCTCCTGTTCGGGTTAGAACATGTTCAGTCCTGCCTGGGAGTTGTTAGATTGATGAGAGAAAAGAAAGTACCGCGGAGCGTGGAACAACGCATTGTGATCAAATTCCTCCGTAGGGGAGTACGTTGAAGACTGATATGTGCAATAAGTGTCTGACAATTTTGGTTAAAAAAAAAGATCAGTCCAGGTCATATTTGAACCACTCAAACAGCTAGAGTGGCGAGAGAAGTAGCACTGAGCTCGGTCTGAAGCAGAAGTATCTGGAAGGATCTGAAACTGACAGGATACAGGGTTATGTGTGAATGTGGATCTCTGGTAGTAGTTACGAACATGATCAGAAGCTGTTCTCAGTATTGCAGTTTCGATTTTGCAGAAAAATTATCAAACCTGCAAAAGGTGACTGTAAAGTATATACAGTAGTGAACTAATATAAGTGTTATGTGTGTAATCATAGTCACAGATGAGATATATCAATCTCTCCATTATATTTTCAATGGAAATTTCACTAACTATTTCAGAGTAGAAATAAAAGAGTCCAATTGGTATTGATAGGATAATGAATTGTAGGAAGTTGAGATTGACTGGGGACATTGATGTGTTTGGGAAGTGAAAGAATGCATACAAAATTTTGATGGTGAAACGACACTTTCTTCAACGACGAGAAGGAGATTGAAGGATAACACTGAGTCAGATATTTCGCAAGTTATGACGACAGGAAATAGAAAGGGGTTATTTAGACTGTGAATATGGGGGACTTTGTTTTGAAATAGCGATATTGTGTCTCCGGGTTTTGCTATCATAGTGTTAGATCTCAAGGAAGCAGATTATAGATCGCGTAGTGACGATGTTGCAACGCTGGGTCTCATAAATACCTAAAATAATTGGGCAGAAATCTGAACATAAAGGTAGGCAGAAGATTATGAACCAGTCAGGCATGAACACAGACAGACACATACATGGAACGTACAGATATAGGAAGAAGTGGTTCTAGTAAAGTTTTGTGGTACTAACACCTTCGATTTCCATACTAACTGCTGCTCCCTTAGGGAGGCGATGAAGACGGTGGTGGATCCGACATAGGGGCCCTTTTGGGAAATCTGGGTCCTCTTATTGGCGGTCTCAGCGGGGTAAGTAGTTCCATGCAAGATAATTCTTTTCTTATAACTAGGGAGGCTTAAATATTATTTAAACATATTCGAGTTCCGATATGACTCACAATTCACGGTCATCTACGTGTCTCACTGGAGATATGTAACGACTTCAGTTTCAATATTGTTAAAGCAGTTGGCAAGAAGCAGTATTTCGGGAGAAGACATAGCTGTATGTGCAGTCTAGTGTTCTGTATTATCGAAATAAGCACTACAATTGCTATGTCATGACATTTATTTTCTAACTCGGTACTGCAGGAAAGTAATCTTAATTGAATATCGCTCAGTCGGTAGGCATTGCTTTTCAGCTGAGTAAACAGAAACACTGGCCGCGTTTCACCGTGTAAAGCAGTGAGATACACGGCTTCTTTTTGCGCGTGCACCAAATTACTAACCCCACAAACACTTCATCGGCCGCAAACCAATCCAAAACAATGATAATAATATTTGTAGAATGAAACAGTGTCGTATAAACATAATTTCTGTTAACAATGTGTTACTGTGGCCGTCGACACAACAATAAAGTGGGTATATAGATTATTTTATCTGTGAATACACACTTTATCCCTCATCCCAAATACACATTTTTACCCCTCCAGACCTGGGGATAGAAATATTCTTGGTCCTTCGGGTTACGTCTTTGCATTCTGCCCCGAAACCCATCCTTCTGTATACTGACTGGTCTACCGCACCACCTTTTCCCCTGTGGGTTCCATTCTGCAACCGTTCTAACAATTCTGCAGTCCTCTGTTTGCATGACGTGGCCGCGCCATCTTAATTGCTGTTCTTCTGTTTCCTGTAACATGTCTTTTTCATTCCAATTTTTGTTCTAATTGTCTCATTTCTGATTCTACCCATTCCTGATGTTCTCGCCTAGCCTCTTAGATATTCCAATTCCGTAACTAATATTTTTTTGTATCTGTTTCCGTTTTATTGACCATGTTTCAGCCCCACATATTAATATGCTCTTACTACTGATTTGTATATTAGTAACTTCGTTGAGAGTAAAATATTTCTATTCAATAAATCTGGATTTCGAGTGCTAATAAATATTCATATTTCAACAACGAAATAAATAAATTTTGATATAAAGTCATGTGAAGGAGACATAAATTGATTAAATCTTTTGATATATTTTTAGCGATTTTAATAGATTTCATTAAAATTGGTTTACTTCATTGTTGTGTTGGTCCCAGTATCTCACTGTTACAAAACAATAGAATGCAAATAATAAAAATAATAAAAACAAAAATATCTATTAATAATGCATGCATGCAGGGTGGTGATGAAGAGGGTGGTGGATCAGACATTGGGGCCCTTTTAGGAAATCTCGGTCCCCTTATCGGCGGCCTCAGCGGGGTAAGTTATTTGTATACAAGAATTTTAACCCTTTCTCTTCTGTGACTTTAAATATCTGAAGCAAGAAAATAAATGTGGCCTCTACTAACTAACTTGCTACATTTTCCTCCTAACACTGTAACTATGCAGGGTGGCGAAGGTGAAGACGGTGAGGGTGGTGGATCGGACATTGGGGCACTTTTGGGAAATCTCGGTCCCCTAATTGGCGGTCTCAGCGGGGTAAGTGTCTTCAATTATTACCTTCGAAAGAGACTGCATTAAATTACAGCACTATCGATGTCAATGTGGTAAGATGCTAGAATTACATATTTTCATGTATAAACTAACGGCTTCTGTTTCTATTAACCCTCATGGTAACACAGGGTGGTGATGATGAAGACGGTGAGGGTGGTGGATCCGATATAGGGGCCCTTTTGGGAAATCTGGGCCCTCTTCTTGGTGGGCTGAGTGGGGTAAGTATTTTATTCTTAATTGATGTCTCTTCTCTTCTGGTTTATGATACCGTGTAATCTGACATGTGCATATCAATATTTTGGGGAGCTCTGCTGCCTCAAAACTTCAGAATTTAACGATTCAACCGTGAAGATGGATACAGCAGGATCCCCGAAGTGATACTATCAACTTGCAAGATTATTCTGTGGCATAACCTCTAATTTCACACCATGATTTTTCACCTCAGTGTAAACCTCAAATCGCATAGGAAACAGATTCTTGTGACGCTGAGTAATAAGACTGCTGTTTTCTGGGGTGCTCCGTCTGGTAGAAATTTGCCGTTTTAAATTGAACACTTGGAAGGAAGTTGTTGTCTTCACCTTCAGGTTAGAACAATCAGCTTCGCAATAAAACGAACGTACATATATTGAAAAGGGGGCACGCAGTAGCGTAGTTGAGGCACTATGAAACAAGCCGGTAGGTCGCGGGTTAGATTCCCGATGAGGTAATCGGATTTGATTTTTCAATTGACCTAATCATGTCCATGATTTATTCTGACCGTCTTACAGTGCATACATTTATTCACCTTACTCTTCCCTCTTACACTACATGTTTCAGCACTAAAGTGCCATCTTTAGGTGCTTTTCGATGTACGTCGAACTACTTCATTGCATGCCCTGTTGTCTTTATACTAAAAT